TTAGTCATGAACCACATGTGCATTAGTCATGAACCACATGTGCATTAGTCATGAACCACATGTGCATTTTGACTGTTTCCCTGCTGAGGACAGTAAATGGTCCTGACGTCGGCCTACCTGACCTCATGCTGCAGAGCTGGAGAGCATCGCAGGGCTGCTTCCACCCGACATGGATCCGTTACAGCGAGCTCATCATCATCATCATCATCATCATCGCTCGCTCAGCTCGACAGCATCGTGGCCTCGTTCACCTGAGCTGCGCTACAACAAGCTTCTTATTGTGAAGCAGAGTCACTGCTGAGGCCAACAGCACCATGCTGGTTAGCATGGAGGGCAGCCTTTCATGCTTTCCCTGCCTGGCTGCAGCTGCCCTGCAGTCTGAGACTCAAACACTCCTGTAACACACATGGATGCACCTGAGGCACAGATGTTCCAGCTGTGACCTGGAATGCTGGAAAAAGGAACACTAGTTTTTTAAAAAGCTTTGTATGCAGCAGCTGATCGATGAGCTGCAGAGCTTCATCAGGGCTGAGCCATCAGGGCTGAGCCAACACTGCCACCTGCAGGAGCACGGCCGCACTGCACCCGGCAGAATGAAGTGTTGGTGACGTGAATCTGTAGGTTTGGCTTTTATTACGTTTGTCATTCATTTTAATAACAAACTCGTGAGAAATGATTTCACGTAACTTCAACGATTTTCAATGATTTGAAGCAGGTTGGAAAATTCAGAAGGAACCAGACGCCCTTAAATCCCTCTTCTCCTCCTCCTCCTCCTCTTCATCGCCTCGTAACCTCTCAGCAGAGCAGCGAAGACGCCGGCGACCGCCACACTGACGCCCATCTGTGACCAAAGCAGCCAAACTTTGAATACAAAGAAGCGTCAAACGAACGTGTTCCAAACCAAACGTACCGCAAGGAGAGCAAAGGGGAAGATCTTCCTCTGCTCCTCTTCAGTCTGGTTCTTCTCGCCTTCGTCCCACAGGGCCAGGGCGCTGTCGTAGTCCAGGCTCAGGACTCCGGCGGGCAGAACCCGGATGCCCCAGTAAGCCCGTTTGACCCTGCGGTAGGCGGCGTCCTGCACGTCACAGCGGTACGTCCCTGAGGACGATGGGAGGAGTCAGTCTGACGTGTCAGCGTCACCACAGAAGAAGAGCTTTGACAGGTTAGTGACCCACGAATAAAGACGCTGTGTCCCAGCAGAATCACTCCTACAGTGTGGGTCTGACTGAGCACGTGCAGAGGTGCGCTCACCTGCATCCTCCTCTCTGACGGGGTCCAGAACCACTCGGTCCAGCTCGGGAGCGTCCCAGCGGGCGAGCAGAGCGTCATCGGTGCTGATGATCCCTCGGGCGTAACGCCACGACACCCTGAGCCGTAAGAGAAGCCGACAGAGTCAGACTGAAGATCAGAATAAAACATGAACTCTAAAACTGAAGGACGCGATGAGGGCCCGCCTTCGGGCAGGTTCGTCCTGTCGTCTCATTGTCCAAACGTCCCGTCTGGTCCAAAGGTTGGTTTAAAAACCTCCTCTTCCTCACCTCCAGGAGAACCTCCCCGTGGCCTCCATCACGTCTCCCACACAGTCGACCTCCACCCTCTGTCCGGATGTGACTGTCATGGTTTGGAGGCCGCACTGCCACGTGTCCATGCACTGCACCGCCCGGACGCGGCACTTCTCCGTCACCTGCAGGTCAAACACAGATGGTCACCACGTCCTCTTCCTGTGGTCAGCAGTGTTACGTCTGTACCTCTGCTTCACCGCCGCTCGGCAGCTTCTCCTCCATCGCCGCCTTGCTGTCATTTAGGAGGCACAGAGTCTGAGTCCGGAGGCCCAGCCCACAGGTGGCGCTGCAGGGGGAGCTCTCAGTGATGACCTCCACTGGGACATTCTGCACCTCCTCCTGCTCCACCTGCTGCGACTCAGCTGAGGTCAGAAGGCGGAGGAAGAGGCAGACAGAGACGAGGAGGCGGTGCTGAAGCCCGACGCTCTGCATTCTGAGGTTTGATGGGGAATCTGCAGAGAAGAAGAAACTGTTTTCATTTTATGATGAAGCCACAACTTTGAACATTTGTACAGTAGCTCAGAGAATCCAACGTGGATCACGTGCCAGAAACCATGCCATCATACTAACGCGTGCTGATTGGTCGGTTAAGGGTTTAGGACAGGAAGTTCTCCCTGGATGGCACCTTTACCTCCAGCAGATGATGGGTGTGACGTTAAAGCTGAGCAGAAGCGTGGTGGTGGTTGGAGGTGATGCTGTCAGGAGGACAGCATGAACGTCTCCGTTCTGTCAGAGGTCCTGGTAGAAGAAGGAGAAGCAACGTTTACAGTGACTCCGTCTCAGTGAGATAAGACACGAGCTCGCTGCCGGGCTGCCTGTAACTGTAAAACAAACTTTTAGCTTCCTTCAGCTCGTGGCTAAGAGCCGCTTTCCTCGTCTAATTTCTCTGCTCGTCATTATTTTCTCTTCTTCATGACTCTGATTATTTCCAGATTTTAGTCTCAGTTAGCTGATTTTGGTTTTGAATCTCAGGAAAGTGAAACCGTGACACGTCTGTCGGTGTCGCAGCTCTATCAGACAGAAAGCTTTAGACTGGATAAACAGGTGAACTCACCTGCTCGTGAAGCTCAGTGTGTCACCAACAGCGCTTACATTCAAATGTAAAGTTGTCGTGACGACCACAGCTCCAGGGTGGAGACCTGTAAATCAGACGTGTAGGTGTGAGCTTTGTAACCTTGGAAACCC